AGTAGTGCCCTGTATACCATCTGGGGTTACTTTTAAAAGTGGCTTGGAAATTGTAGCTGGTCACAAGGAATTCCCAAGTTTGTTGAAATAATTAAATAATTTAATCATGTTGTATACATAGAATGTCAGATAAACAGTCTTCTATATCTTAATTTATAAAGCCCTGGACAACTTTAATGTATACAGGAAGTCCTTGAGTTACAAAACTTCATTTAGTGACCATTCAAAGTTATAACAGCACTGAAAAAAGTGACTTTTGACTGTTTTTCACATGACCATTGTAGCATCCCCATGGTCACATGATCAAACTTCATATGCTTACAACTGACCAAACAAAACAAATTGCAAGAAGATGAACACATTGAAGGGACAAGACTAATAAATATGAATCAAACAGATAATTCTTTAAGAGTTTACAATAAAATAAGGCGGGGAGAGGGAAGTCTCCCCAAAATAATTAAAGGGCTATGGATGGGTGCTCAAATGATGCGGCAGAAGGAGAAAAGGGGTAAGCCAGAGGGAATATTTAGTTGGTATAAAAATGGTAGAAAGAAAAATAAGGTCCCAAGAGAGAAATATAAAAGAGGGATCAAAAAGTCAATAAATGATGAAGTCTCAAAAAGAGTAAGAGATGATGGATAGAGATAAAATAGCCCTAAATAAGGTGAAAGTATTAAAAATTAAAAGAAGTAGAAAATATAAATTGGAAAAACAGTAGAACATATATAGATAGATAATATAATTTACTATAATCATAAGCAAATTAAGGTTAGAAGGTAGAGTCTATGATGTGGTAATCTAAATATTATTATTATTATTATTATTATTATTATTATTATTATTATTATTATTATTATTATTGATGTGTAAAAATATATTAAAATTTATAATTTTAGGGGATTGGAGATATATTCCTGGGATTGATTAAATTTGGTTAATGATTGGTCCTATTGGCATTTTTAAACAATTGGGACATTGGATTTATGGTGAAATATTGAGTAATTTTTAAAATATTAAAATGCTAGTGCAGTGATTTTATTAGAGATTTATAATGGTTGTAGTGTCCCGGGGTCATATGATCACTTTCTGTAATCTTCTGATAAGCGAAGTGAATGGGGAAGCCAGATTCACTTAACAACCGTGTGATTAACTGCACAACTGTAGTGATTCACTTACAACTGTGGCAAGAAATATGGTAAAATGAGGCAAAACTCACTTAACAAATGTCTCACTTAACAACAGAAATGTTGGGCTCAATTGTGGTTGTAAGTCAAGGACTGCCTGTACTTGAAGAACTGCCTTCTCCATCTTTTCCTTCTTCTTAGCAAGCAAGCTAACTAACTAGTCATCCAGCCCAGAGGTCTCCAACCTTGGCAACTTTAAGACTTGTGAACTAGAACTGCCATAATTCTTCAGACAGCAAAGCTGACCCCTGAACCAGCCAACCAGCCAGCGTCTCTGAATTTTAAGATCTTCTTTAAGGCCTCTGTGTGCCAAATGAATATCAGTAGCCCCCCTTAAATGGGACCGAACTTGATTGCTATGTGAAATGGTTGCTAAGTGAAGGAACTACTATGTTTGAAATCTTACCTTAGCTTTCCTTTAATTTACAGACCTGCGCAGGTCTTAAATATAAGAATTGATTGGCACTACTGAAAATTACCTTTTTATCATCATCATTATTGCACACTGTCACTGTCTGTGGCAGTTGCTAAGCGAGGGTTACCTCAGTCAAGAGTTGTCTGACCACATGAAACAGGTGTTTTTGGGGTAGGCACTTGATCCAGTGAAATCACGTTTATTTATGAAGTCACTTTATATATCTTAGTCAATTTTTTCCATTTAAATTGCAGCATCCTAAAAAGGTATATTTAATATCAAATATTTTGTTTGTTTTCCCAGAGCCTAAATAAGCTATTATAGATAATATATTCTATATAAAATACAATATGCATATTGTATGGCTTGAAAAATATGAGGGTTGTTCATGCTGGATTTTTTAAAAAAGTACAAATTGTTTCAATGAAAATGCTACTGGATCAGATAGATGCATTCCCATTTATTTCTACTAAGTTCTCATCAGTTGCACTATTCTGCAATTATAAACAAGTCTAAACAGAAGCCAGCTTTAATTTACAGAAATTAATATTCAAGCAGTACCACAATTAGGAAATCATACACAAAGACACTTACAAAATGCAAGCAATCCCACCCTCTCATACTCTCGAATAAATATATATTGGTATGGGAGGAATAAGCAAATATTAATTTTGCTTTTTCTGAATCTTTTTGCTTCTTCTTCCTCTTTTTTCACTTAACTTTTCATTTATTTTAAGAAGTTTACATCACCGGGTTGCATTTAACTTAATTAGTAATTTGGAGGAGAGACTAAGAATAAAAAGAGGAAAAAATAGAAAAGGGGGAAAGAAGAAAAAAAGGCATTCAATGATTAAGTATTTAAAATTCAAATTGATTTCAGTAGATAATTTTACATGCATTTTGTTTCATTTAAAAAAAAACATGAGAGATGCAGTTCTGAAGTCTTGATTGCACTTATGTACATTCATAATTGGTGAATAACATTCTGATAAGGCAACTACCAAATATTGGGTAACAAAATAATATATTAATTTGGCCAAGAGAAAAGCTGATTTCTGCCACATAGGTATCTCATCTCGCGTCCATCCCACCCAGGCCAGGAGAGGGGGGACTACTGGGGATACCGTCTGTCAAGGAATTTCAGCTGGCGGGATCAGGGAAGAGCCTTCTCTGCTGTGACTCCTGCCCTCTGAAACACTGTACCTTCAAAGTGAGATTGGGTCCCACCTCCTAACTTTTTGTAAGAGCCTTAAGACATGAAGATGGCAGTGGGAGAGCTTCATACTGGAAGTGGTTGACTAATTAAAAGCAAATTCCCCCTCCCCCCCTCATGTATCTGTCTCTCTCCTTCACCATCTTGTATTAATGATTTTAATTTATCTACCTTGTCATTTTATATCTGGTGATTTTAATGTCTTTATGATGTAAGCCACCCAGAATCATTTGTGACGAGATGGGCAAACAAATATATAAACAAACAAACAAACAAATATGTGTCATTCTACTATACAAGCAGTATTCAATATAATACTGAGGACAAATTGTGGTTTTAAGAAATATACTTTTAATGAGGGTATTATTATTATACTCTCATTAAAAAGTATATTTCTTAAAACCACAATTTTCCCTCAGTATTATATTAAATAGCTGCTTGTATAGTAGTGTGACACATATTTATTTATTATTACTATTATTATTGTTAGTGTGTGGCATAGTTGGAAACATCTCTTGCCAGTGACATCTACCTGACCCATTAGAGTAAGTAGGCAGGGAATGCTGAGGGTCCCATCCCTGAGGGAGGTACATCTGGTGGGACCTAGAAGAAGGGCCTTCTCTGTGGTAGCTCCATCTCTCTGGAACATCATGCCCCCAGAGATTAGAATGGCCCCCTTATTAATACTATTCTGAAAGGCACTGAAATCTGGTTTTGCCAGCGGGCCTGGGGAACCCAGAGAGGGATGGAACCCATCAAATGGCTAGTTTGACCCGCTGTCATCGGTGTGTGGGGAGGTGGGAGCTGGTTTTATTTTTGTTTTGTTTTTGTTTTGTTTTCCCAAATTTTGTTCTATTGTACTTTACTAATTTATTTTATTCTTTTTGTTAGTTCTTATTGTTTTTATTTTTTATTTTAAATATGATTTTACATTTTGTAACTCACCTTGAGTTGCCATGGGCAAATAGGCGGCAATATAAATCAAATAAATAAATAAATAAAAATAGTTACAGTAGCTAGAAGACCACAGTGATATTGCATAGTAGTAGTCTGGCTTGTCAAGGTACCAGCCCTGTAAATAGGACATGCTTGCACACTTTCCAAGGTGCACCAGAGGGGTTGAGGTGGTTCTTCCTGCAGCATCACCCAAGGCCCCATCCCTTCCTGGAGCTGGTTTGCAAATGGGGGCCGCAACTGGGAAGGTTCAGAGCCATCAGGAATCTGGCTGTCTGGTCAAAGCACAGCTCATCTCCCCACTGATATGGTACGTTTCTATCTACTTTCATAGAACACACTTTCGAACTGTTAGGTGGATTGAAGCAAATGACAGGAATTCACCCTTCTCACAGTACCTGGGCTCGAACAGCCAGAGCTGAGATTATCTCCAGAATCATGAAGCCATTGAGTCCCATGCCTTCTTTTATGACAGTGAAAAATTTACCTATGGATGATTATGACTCTCATGTGCTTCATAATGTGGGGAATCTATGAAGATCACAGATCTAACTTTGCAACAATTTGTCAAAAGCATAAATATCTAATATATGCATTTGCTGTATGAAGCCTATAGTGATTTAACAAGCTGTCTTAATTCAATTAATAGCCAGCATTTCTGTATCTTTATCACTTCTGTAGCTTCTAACATACCCTTTCAGAGTGGCAGTTTGTAGGATTGATAGAACAATGAAAAAGTGAGAAATGTTATTAATAAATGACCACTACAGGACACTGTCAGGATAAACAGAAAAATGAAAGATAAAAGATGAACTGAATTGTTTTTGTTGTATTTTTTTTAAAAAAATTAGATAGGATATTTCCACAAAATTCCATTTAAAGAACAATTGCTCAGACACAGAATATGTGAATTAAAAAATTTAAATTAATTAAAAAATAATTGGACAATTAAAGCTGATAAACCAAATTTAATACTGAGATTAAAAAAGGGAAAAAACAGTCAATTCCATTGTTTATTTTTGCCACTTACAGTACTGTTTGTATGAATACTTGGAGTTTACAAAGGCCAGAGTTTTTAACCTGTCAGTGTCCCTCCAGGAAAAAGAAATAGCCAGTATGTATTATAAGCCCTTCATCAGGTGAGTGTCCATGATTTCAGAAAAGCTATTACAGTATTAGAGATGTCCAAGCCCCATGAGGAATGGCTCAAAGCCCCAGCAGTAGTGATACTCACGTTGGCAGTGGCCCCAGGCGTGGCGAGCCCAGCCCCAACAGCAATCCACTCTGCTCCCAAAACGACACAATCCAGTTGTGGAAAGGATCTGCCTGGGCCACCTGCACCAGCACCAAAAATAAGTAAGACCAATGAATCAATTAACATTAAGTTACAGATCAGGGGTGTCCAACTCAAGACTTATAGGCCAGATCCGGCCCCTGGGGTGCTTAGATCTGGTCCACGGGGCCAACCTGGAAACAGCGAAGGACTGGCTTGCACTGCCTTTGGCAGCGAAAATGGAGCTTGTGAGGCCATGCACAACCCTCCTGAGCTCCGTTTTCACTGGCAGAGCACTTGGGCCACCACAAGCACCCCCAACACGAGTGACATTGAGTTGGCCATGCCCACCCTGGCCACGCCCACCCCAGCCCCTGAGGTGAAACAGAACCCTGATGTGGCCCTCAATGAAATCGAGTTTGACACCCCTGTTACAGATGGTCCAATGGTGCTGATCTGAATAAACCTCAATTGGCTGGGTTCACTCAATGTACTAACTTATGACACTAGAAACCAAATGGCTGAATTTACCCAATATACCAACCAGAACTATATGCACAACACTTGGTTTTGTATAATGTTTGGATCCAATTTTCAGCCTGACTGAAAGGAAAGGAGTGTACTGCAGAACTTTTGTTCAATTACACTACACCAATATTTTTGCCCAGTCTTTTTATGATGAACTTTCAAGAAAGAAACCAATCACTCCATTTCTGGGTCCTTATTCTATTTTTGTGAGTTTTTCTTCTTGCAGAAGAAGACATCTTCCTGCTTAACTCCTGTATATACCCTATACCGTGGCAACTTTAAGAGGCATGGACTTTAACTCCCAGAATTCTCCTGTCAGCTCTGGGGAATTCTGGGTGTTGAAGTCCATGCCTCTTAAAGTTGCCAAGGCTGAGGCATACTGCCCTATTGGATAACCGCAACATAAAGTAACAGGATACATCTAGTATATGATGGTTATTGCAGATGTTAATTCAGTAGCCAGACCTTTCAAAGAATTTCACTGCTTCCCAAATGCTGTATTTTTAATTGGAACTGGTTCAGACATTCAGCTGTCATTTGTTAAATAATATTCTCAAGCTTCAAGATTTTATCATTATTTGGAAAGCACATTTTTATTCTTCTTGTTATCTTGGTAAGCCATCTTGAAACCATCTGTCATAAAGTTTTCATATGTTTTTGAACTACTGTTTCATCCCATTTTTAAAGGGTCTGGGAAACTATTTTTCCCTCTTAGGCTATTTTGTTTTAGTTTCTCTTTCCTTCCATCTCTTATTAGCTCAACATATCCAATACCATGTACGTTTACATGGGAATTAAATCAATGGTGCTTTTTTGTAAAGATAACTTAACCACATAAGTCAAAGTTTGATAAGGGGTCTTAAAATACATGTTGCATGGAAATTCTTCTACCTAATCAGCCTTTACTTCTAGCCATTCACCACAAAACCAAGAGCTTAGCAGGACGATATTGATTTCTAGGCTATTTCCCAGATTTAAAACTAGGATCAGGTCAACATTCTGTGTACCATCCTGTACTCTAATTATATATTGGATATACAACATGCTAGAGATAAGACCAGATGTACTATCTATGGAGCTGAGCTAGAAAATGTTTCTTCCAACATGCTGTGATACATATTCAAGATGAAGGCACCGTATCTCAGTAAAGGGGTAAAGTTGGAGCAGCTACAAATAGTTTATAATGATGTGTTGTCGTTTGATCAGCTATAGCAATAGCTATTTGATTACCAATGCTATTCAAAGTTTGCACACCTCTCCTATTAAAGCACAACACACTATAAAGTAATAGTAAAGAGTGATTTACTTGAGCAAATCAAATGACTCCATGGAATAAATAGTGATTACTCAACAAATTGTGAAAAGGATAGGTAAAGGGTAAGCTTTAAACTAAGATCCCATCCAACATATTTTCTTCTAGTCTGCATGACTTATTCCCTAATTTTTATCAAAGTTTTTCATCAAATTTTGACACATTATAACTGTAGCAATTACATGCACATTCCTGCTTTTCAGCCCTCGCTTTCAGATTTCATTTATCTGCATTCATGTTTAAACTTGAGCTGCAAACTTGTCAGCATGCTATTTCGTCAACTTAGTGCTCAGATCATTAACTTCTGACTTATTCAGCATTAATTGAGATTTTTTTACTATTTGATAGACCTACTTGATAGCAATAGGAATTGCAAAGACATTTAAATTGTTCTTCCTTTAATATTCCTGCAATCTACCTGTGTGTGTGTGTGTGTGTGTGTGTGTGTGTGTGTGTGTGTGTTATACACACAATAAAGATCTGGTGGCAGAAATTTAGCACCTTCCAGATGTCTTGAATTCTCGTAGTCCTCAACAGACATGTGCCTTTTCCTGAACCATCATAGTATCTTTAGGAAACTGTTTATTTGAAATCAGGGGCAGTAGAAGAGATTCATAATTGTCCATTTAACTTATATAGGCAAACAGATTTCTGGATGAGCATCCTATAGTTGTCAAAACTAAGACCCAGAGGCGTAAATTTGATTCTCATCCAAAGATGGCATTTAAACTGTCAGGTACTGAAGGATTCTGATAAAGAAGGTTCAACCAGTAAGTGTATTAAAAATTGGAAAGCCATATAAACTAATGAATTCTTTGTGTAACAGCATCACAATATCTTCCCATGTAATATATATTAATAAAGGTAAAGGTATCCTCTGTCCAATTGTATCAGACTCTAGGGGGCAGTGCCCATTTCTGCTTCTTAGACAAGGAAGTGAGAGTTGTCTGAAGACACTTTCGTGTTCATGTGGCCAGCATATCCATACTCTGAGGTGCACAGAATGCTGTTACCTTCCCACCAAAGTTTTACCTATTTATCTACTTGCATTTGCCTGCTTTCAAATTGCTAGGTGGGCAGGAGCTGGGGCAGGCATGGGAACTCATCCCTTTGTGCAGTGCTTGGGTCTCAAACCTGGGTCATCAGCTTTCCAGTTAACAAGCTCAGGGTCTTTAACTGATGGGCTATTACGCCCCTTTTAATAGCCAGATTTAAATCCTCTTCCATTTGCCTTTTTAGGAAAATCTCCCTTCTATTCCCCACTCTCATCAAAAGACTGGAGAGCTATGAAGAAGGAACTATATTACTCCTTTCATTTCCATTAATTGTCAACTAGAGCAGGGGTCTCCAACCTTGGTAACTTTAAGGCTAGTGGACTTTAACTCCCAGCTTTGCTGGCTAAGGAATTCTGGGAGTTGAAGTCCACAAGTCTTAAAGTTACCAAGGTTGGAGACCCCTGAACTAGAGCAGATAAAGTCTCTCCACCGCTAGCCCTCTGAATCCTTTCCTGCTCCTGGCCAAGGATCGTTGAAAGAACCAATCTCCAACTCCTTTTTCCAGTGGAGTGGAAACAATTCTAATAATAAATAGGCTATGGATCGGATTCTCTCCCTTCCCCTTTCAAACTGTTCCTCCCTGAGATCTCTGAAGAGAGGGGAATGTCCATTACTTCTTCTGGAAAGATTTTTTTTCCTCCACAAGCATTCACTCTTGCATCCTCTTGTTAGGCACTTGTCTTACTCCTGAATTCATCCCTCCATTATAAGGGGGTTAGTCAGAGTAATTATAGCTTCCCCATTCCCAAACCAACCCTCTTCTATCTCAAAATAAAAGCTGCTAGCATGCACTAAAGTTAAAAGATATAATCAATTAGGTCTGAATTGTATAGGGCAATGCATTTATTATTATTTTGTTAATTTAAATGCCTAATACTCCTTTGTCCTCTTCTCCTCTAAAGTCAAATAGCCAGTTTTCATTGCTAAGGTGGGATTAGCATTCACAATCTCCTGGTTTCTAGCCTGATGCCTTAAATACTGCACCAATATCAAAGGAATCCTTGGCTATTTCCCAGGATATCTCTCTTCTAGGTATCCTTTCCAATAAATCAAACATTACAGATCGCTTCTTGTGAATCAGGGGTCTGAAAGAACTCCCCCTTGAATTCTTTGTCCCTATTTGCACAGTAGAACAGTGGTGCATAAGGCTAAGATTCCAAGCTCAAATGGTAACAAACAGATGTATGTTCAAAGCAGCTGGAAGCTGCAGATAAAAAGCTGCAGGATTGATATGTGCATGTATAGGAAAGGGTGCAGCTTCTTAATGATCATATGACAGAGAGAAATCTGGTAAAGAGCCAGGAGACAAGGGAGAGACTTCGGCAATGCAGGGACCCTCTTAGTGATGTCAGTTAGCAGAACATTTGTTAGAGGTCCTGGCTTGATACAACTGATCGTTGAGGAGATGTTGATCTGTTTGCTATTCTGGAGAAAATAAAAGCTCTCAGGGAAAGGGAACAATCAGGAAACATTAAGCAACAGTCATGGATAATAACTCTGCATGACCTAACATTGCAACACTAGTGCAGAGACATTAACTGACATATTAAATGAGAACCAGTCCCAAGCAAAATATCAGTCCAATGATCTTGCTGGTGGTTAAGACAGCAATGGAGTAATTCTGTTTCATCGTGTAGGCAAAGGGCAGAAGATACTTGGAACTGTACATCCAACAGATGAAAGAAAATGATGCCAGTTGAATTAAACGAATTCATAACATGTGGTTCTGCAAAATCTGCTGAATGAGCTGATAATCTCTTTCCAAAGCAGAGGAAAGACCCTAACAGGAAATGAAATGGACCATTGTGGAGGAAAAATAAAATACCACTAGAATGGCATCCAGATCCTTGACATAAGGTCATTCAGTAATAAAAGCCAGTGAAATAGTGTCTCAAGGCCCCTGTGAAAGAGACAAACAGTGCAGGCAGCTTCTGGTAAGAGATTTGGCAAGTTGACAAGTGTAGTAAAAAGAAATGTTGACTATTCCAAGAAGCCAAAAAAAGCCACAGTCTCATAGAAAAGAAGATAAGTTGTTTTAAATAGAATGAAATCTCCAGAGCAACAAGATTTCTTCCCTTAAGGAAGAATGTATTAGTGATCATTGTGAAGCAATTCTTTCCACTTGGAAGAAAACAGATGATGACAGAGGCCCGCTTAAAGTCATCTG